CATCAGATGCCAATAAGCATTTAAGTTTCGAAATTGATTCCGCACATTCTTTCGACCATTCGAATTTTTTATTCGCTTGCAACAACTGATAGAGTGGGTAAAGCAATGTCGATAAATTAGGTAAAAATCGTCTATAAAAGTTTATCACCCCCAACAACGCTTGCAGTTCTTTTACATTTGATGGCTCCTTAATACTACGAATGTCTTTTACTTTGTCCGGATCCATATGTAAGCCATCTTTGTTAATAATATGCCCTAAATATTTTATTTCATCTACAAAAAATTCACATTTCTTTTTGGACAACCTAAAACCCGCATCACTTAATAAAGTTAACACGGCTTCTAACCTTTGCGTGAGTAACTTCTCGCACGATGCTGTTATGAGTATATCATCGAGGAATACTACTACCCCATCGATGCCCATTAACAGCGTGTCCATAACTCTTTGAAAAATTGCGGGCGCCGATGCCAAACCATATATAAGCCTTGTATACTGAAAAAGGCCCTTTGATGTAGAAATTGTTGTGAGTTTACGCGATTGCTCATCCAACTCGATTTGCTGATAAGCTGTACTTAAATCTAGTTTCACAAACTTTACCCCGCCATGCATCTTTGCAAAGATTTCTTCAATTCTTGGTAAAGGATACTTTTCAATATGTAGATGTGGGTTTAAGGTCACCTTAAAATCACCACATATGCGTATTCCGCCATCTTTCTTTTGAACGGGAACAATCGGCGTCCCCCATTCACAATAGTCCACCGGCTGTAAAACTTTCAATGCTACTAAATTGTCTATTTCTTTTTCAACTTTTTCTTTAATAGCTAAAGGTAAAGGTCGCGGCCTAAAAAATTTTGGTTCTGTTCCCTCCTTTACATGTAAGTGTGCTTTAGTCCTTTTGAATAACCCCAACGACCCATCGAACAGTTTAGCAAATTTTTGTAAGACCCGGTTGTCACCTTGAATTTGTTTAGCAAAATTTAAATTGGAAAATTCAATATGGAAACGATTCAAGAACTTCCGACCCAGCAGTGGAGGGCCTCCCGATTTAATTACCAAAAATGAAATATTCTTATGTTGCTCTTTGAAACGTATATTCACATCAAACACCCCCAGCGGAATAATGCTACCACCATTGTATGCCCTCAACAAGGTTGTTATCTCTCGCAACTTATACTTGCTAAAGTGAGTTTTGTAAGTTTCCTCTGCCATGACATTGTTTTCTGAACCTGTGTCTAGCTGCATATCAAATGCTTTGCCATCAACAAAAATAACGGGTGATTTTTTTGAGGTTAGGATTTTCATGCATTAGTATTTGACAGATCACGTGGGATTTCAGACATGGTGTCAAAGAGAAAGATGCTCAGTATGCTTTGAAATTTCATCATGAATAGACTTACTAACGAGCAACGCTTGCAAATCATTGAATTTTATTACCAAAATCAGTGTTCGGTTCGAAATGTGTTTCGCGCTTTACGTCCGATTTATGGTCTACATAATCGACCAAGTGAGCAAACAATTAATGCGATTGTGACCAAGTTTCGCACTCAGTTTACTTTATTGGACATTAAACCAACCACACGAATGCGTACAGTGCGTACAGAAGAGAATATTGCGTCTGTTTCTGAGAGTGTTGCTGAAGACCGTGAAATGTCGATTCGTCGCCGTTCGCAGCAATTGGGTTTGTGTTATTCGACCACATGGAAGATTTTACGCAAAGATCTTGGTGTAAAACCGTATAAAATACAGCTCGTGCAAGAACTGAAGCCGAACGATCTGCCACAACGTCGAATTTTCAGTGAATGGGCCCTAGAAAAGTTGGCAGAAAATCCGCTTTTTTATCGACAAATTTTGTTCAGCGATGAGGCTCATTTCTGGTTGAATGGCTTCGTAAATAAGCAAAATTGCCGCATTTGGAGTGAAGAGCAACCAGAAGCCGTTCAAGAACTGCCCATGCATCCCGAAAAAATGCACTGTTTGGTGTGGTTTGTACGCTGGTGGAATCATTGGACCGTATTTTTTCAAAGATGCTGTTGGACGCAACGTTACGGTGAATGGCGATCGCTATCGTTCGATGCTAACAAACTTTTTGTTGCCAAAAATGGAAGAACTGAACTTGGTTGACATGTGGTTTCAACAAGATGGCGCTACATGCCACACAGCTCGCGATTCTATGGCCATTTTGAGGGAAAACTTCGGAGAACAATTCATCTCAAGAAATGGACCGGTAAGTTGGCCACCAAGATCATGCGATTTGACGCCTTTAGACTATTTTTTGTGGGGCTACGTCAAGTCTAAAGTCTACAGAAATAAGCCAGCAACTATTCCAGCTTTGGAAGACAACATTTCCGAAGAAATTCGGGCTATTCCGGCCGAAATGCTCGAAAAAGTTGCCCAAAATTGGACTTTCCGAATGGACCACCTAAGACGCAGCCGCGGTCAACATTTAAATGAAATTATCTTCAAAAAGTAAATGTCATGGACCAATCTAACGTTTCAAATAAAGAACCGATGAGATTTTGCAAATTTTATGCGTTTTTTTTAAAAAAAAAGTTATCAAGCTCTTAAAAAATCACCCTTTATTTACAGTAATCGGTTTATCTTTAGAACTATTAATTGAAAATAAGCTTAACTCACTTGAATTATTTAAAAAATTAAACCCATCTTTTTTATCCTTACACATTTTTTTTAAGTGTCCTCTTTTTTTACAATTATTGCATTTATAATTCTTAAACTTACATTCGTTTCTGCTGTGGTTAGTGTAACCGCATACTTCGCATTGTTGCTCTCTCTGTTTCCGATACCCTTGATGTGACATCTGCTTAACATTCTGCTGCCTATTTCGCTCGCCTTGCGACTTCTGGTTCTTTTTTAAGAAGTTCAGCTCTTCCTGCTTTATTTGTACGCTGTCGCCTTGCTGTTGTTTAATATATTCCGCTGTGTTTGCTATCTCCACCACCTTGTCGAAACTTGCTGCAATGTTTTCCAAAAAAATTTTGTCTCTGGCTGGACCCTTTTCCAGACCCATAACAAATTTGTCTCGCAGCACCATATTGAGGCTATCACCAAATTCACATTTTACTGCTAACGCTCTTACTCTAGCTGCCCAATCATTTACGGATTCTGTTGAAGCTTTTGTAGCGTTATAAAATTTGTAACGCTCCACAAACGCAGATGTTGTTGGCCGAAAATGGTTTCGCAATCTATCGAGGCAACTGTCCAAGGTAGTGTTAGCGTTTTCCAGCACTTCCGGACGTATTAAATTGTCCAGCAAGGTATACGCACTTTCGGATAACGACGTTAACAAAATCGCCTTCTTCTTATTTTCTTCCGTGATGCCACTAGCAATGAAGAATTGCAATAATTGCTTTTCGAACACGAACCATGAGTTTTTTTCGTGGTCAAAATATGGAGCCTTAAAATTACACGGTGTTGAGTTACTGGTCGCCATATCACAAAGATATTGTTTTCACCAGTTGCCAAATCACTTGCTTCCCGTTTAAAAATTGATACAATAGTTTTTACTTCGTCGCCACTGTGATATTCTTCGATATCGTTTCTTGTATAGCAAATAAAACACGTCGTCGTCGTATAAGTGCCCAACCGGAAGAGAGTATTTATTATTCTTTTATTTCTTATTGACATTAGTTAGGGCGTTGCCAGATAGACATACCCTAGGAATAAAACCTAATGATCTGTTTACATAGTTTAAGTTATAGTTCAAGTTAACACTACGTTTACTCACGAGTAAATACATATATCACAATTACAACTTTACCTAATTAAAAGCTCTAAAAAAGTTATTTTCAATAAACAGCTTTATTATCTACATATGTGCTTGCTGTGTGTTGTATAATACTATATGTATGTATACTAATGCGCACGTTGCTATTAATGAATTTATAGTTTGATTTGTTTTGCTTTATAGTTAACACGGTCCCGTGCAGTTTGAAACCATTTTGTTGTAAATTTCTTAAAATCCGCTTTGTTAGAAAATTTTCTGCAATAGGCTTCTATAAAGATATAATACAAAATACCTAAATTAAAACAACAACACATCATTTCTGAAGAGAAATACCTTTAAACGCAGCAGTTATGGCTAAATTTTAAAGCGAAATTTTATTATCAACATTTTTCCATGTTTGGCAAGCAACTTCATCGATGACTAAACGTTTCCAAACAGCTCTCACAAATTTTCCGCACTCGGGGATGCCAATCAAAAAGATTTCGGTTCAGAAAAGTCTAATTTCATATGCCTATGTTGACAAAAAATTTATAACAAAATTTTCGATACAAATTGCAAATATTTAATGTTTTTTTATTTCCACAAAGTGCCGGCTCATGATTTGGTTCATATATGTGGCCTATATGAGTTGAAAATATTTTGTTATTTTGATACTCATATTTCTTACATAGTAGAACTCTTTTCGGACTCAAAAATTCTGAGTGCTCCGAATATGTTTGCGGGGATATTCCCCTTCACCTTTGCCATTATACTTATAAGTAAAGTGTTTAAATTTACCTTGGCCTTCGTTTTTGCCTTTATCTTTACGCATCTTTGTTTACGTTTTTATTTTTACCTTTGCCTTTATCCTTTTCTTTATCTATGTATGTAAGTACTCACCTTTACTTCCATTCTTGTATTGGGGTTTTTCTAAGTGTTATTCTTTAACTTTTTATTAGCAAGTTTTTGTTAAGTTAATACCATGTGCATACACTCAAGAAGCACTTGTTTCAGCCCTAACCATTTCCGTTGCACCATTTCCATGTGCAATTTCCGTTGAATTTGCCAATTTACTCCCAACCAACCAACCGCCGCTAAAGAAGTTTCACTTCAAAAATAAACACCTTTTACATCTTCCACATTATAAAGATGTGGAAACTTACTCATATTCCAAAGCGGGTGTTGCAATCCTCGTAAATGAAACTTTGAATACTTCTAATTACAAACTATCTAACAATAATCTTCTCTTTCAATGTATCACCATACACGCGTTAAAAGACCTGCACATAACCAACATATACCGCGAGAAAGACTTATATTTTACAGCTCAACACCTGGACGCCATACACACCTACCACAACGGATATCATTTACTGGGTGGTGACTTAAACGCACATAACACATTTTGGGGTGCAAAGAAAACAAATCAGAACGGAAAATGATGGGAAGACTTTGCAAACGATAAACAATTTGTAATACTCAACCACGGGTCTCCCCTACTGCTAACGCGAGAAATACTTTAACAAATGTTTACGTCTCAATGACATGCGGAGTTATAGCTCTGGTTCTGACATGAATTTGTCTTCCTCCGTCAGGGTCTAGCGATCATTTTCCAATCCTAATTTTCAACAACATGCATCAACAGCAGAATCAACCCCAGGTTTAATACGAACAAGGTAAATTGGCCTCTATTTACAATTAAAACTAACGTCTACTCACAAAATTTCACTCAGTCAGTTAACGTCAACAGGGAAGCCGCCCAAATAAAAAAAAAAGTTTTGAGGAAAGCTGCAAACGAAGCCATGCCCACGAAGCCATGCCCACCACCTTTTCAGCACCTAAACACAATAGCCCAGTCTGGTTCAACAGTCAGATTGCAAATCTTATAAAAGTCAAAAACGATTGATGGAAACGGTTTAAAAAGAACCAAACAGCAAACAATAGGGAAATCATATGCGGCGGTACGAAAAGCATGTAAACAAGCCAAACAGGATTCATGGAATGGGTTTCTAAACTCGCTTAATCCCATACGACCCAAAGCACCTTTGGCATAAGATCAAATGCCAACGTTTCTTCTGTTTCCCACAGATACTAACTGCCAATGCTGTACTGAAACACCCAGAACAGATTGCTGAAACCCTAGGAGCACATTGGAGCGCAGCGAGCTCGAATGAGTCGTTTGAGTCAACTATCATTGACCAAAAAAATTACTTGATTGTTGAGAATCTACCACAACCACCACAGTCGAAGCAAGTAACCCAAAATAGTCCGCTCCAAGAACTTGAGGCAGCTCTCAAAACTTCTGAAGGAACCACTCCCAGCCATGACAAAATAACCTATTCAATGTTAAAGAACGCATCCATCACCCTAAAATCCGTATATGCAGTCTATTTAGTAGAATTTTAGATACAGGAGTATATCCACATGGATGGAAGCATGCAAACCCGGAAAAACCCAAACTCTCTTGAAGGATATCGTCCCTTATCCCTCTTGCCCACATTAGCGAAAACATTTGACAAAATTCTAGCCAACAGAATATGGAAGAGCTTCAGCAATGAGCTGGAAGCAGAACAACAAGCGTTCATACCCAAACATGGAGTATACACTTTAACACATACTTTAGAAAGACAACTGAAGTACTTAAGCAGAGAACATACGGTCGTTTTTTCTGCAGACCTGGCAAAAGCATACGATAGAGTAGTATCTACGGAAGTAATAAAAGAAATGCATTAATGTGGACTACCCATGAGCATCCTTAAGCTCTCTCTCTCCTTCCTCTCGTATCGAAGGACTACAGCCAGAGTCGACGGATACCTTTCAAGGGAAAGGAAACTAGAAAACGGAGGTTCACAGGGTTCGCCTCTTTCAGTAGTACTGTCGATTTATAACACCAGCCCAGCCTAATATTCACCAAAGCTTACGGCAACCCTGTCATCATGTTTTTACTTTGTATTCTTGTATTCTTTGTACCACATTTTCTTTATGCACATTTTCCATTTTATATGTTCAAATATCCCGCAATTTCTCATACTCATCGCATTTCCAATCTAAAAGCCGAAGAAGACGCTCGAACAAGAACACCAATTTTGAAACATACAAGCAAACCGGCAAACAAACCAACTAACCGGCCAATAAGCAAGCAAGCAGCAACTTTAACATTGTCCTACATTTATACCTTACGTTTCACTAAGATTGGAAATCGCAATAAATACCAAATTTTGTATTTTAAATCCAGTGTAAATGTATTCAGTCGTCGTCAACAAGTACGTTATACCTTTTACGCTAATTCCTTACTAAAGCAGATAAAGAATGTGCAAGGTATTTCGTATATAGGTATATAGGCAGACAATATCTTTGCAGCTGCGTCTGGAACACATGAAGAGGTCGTGCAAAGTCTTCAAAAATTTGACGAAAATATAAATAATTGGGCCATGGGCACATGCTCCTCAGTACCCATCGAAGCAACAACAGCCCTCTATGTTTGCCGGAAAAATAATTGCAATGTCAGTTCAGTCCTTATTCGGGGACGAAGAATACCTTTACAAAATAGCTTGAGAATACTAGGAGTACAGTTTTCAAAAAATATGTTGTGGAACAATTATATTAGTGTCCAAAAAGACCAGCTTAAGAAAGTCAACAATTTACTCAAAGTCATGTGCCCTAAACGAAAAGGCCCACTCATAGACACCGCAATTGCTATTTGTCGTACACTCACTGAAGGTATTTTACAACACTACCTCACACTCCGGCTGGACATCCAACAAAAATATCAAAACACTTAACACCGAACTATATAAATGCTACAGAACAGCTTCTGGACTACTTAAAACAACTCCCATACCCACGCTCAAAATAGAAGCGCGAATCACAGATTTTCAAAGTCTGCGGTTTAAAAACTCAAATCTAGCCACGAAATCCATTATCAATTATGAGCATCCACTCCACATCATCTGGAATTTCCTCGACAGAATAAAAAACGATCGCGCACCCATACGCAAAACATGCAGTTTAAAAAGAAATGCTACACGACGCTCACATCCCTATTCCAGCAAAACCGCCTAAAAACAAAAAAGATACAACACATCTTATTACGATAGATACCCTGCAAAACTCGAATGACCGAAACTAGAACACATTCACAGAAATTTTCGATTGTCACTAATACATAAATAGTACATGTGAGAATTCCCTATGAAAAAATCTTAGAATGAAACAACATCTTATAATTTTTGAACTGCTTTATAATATCTTATTCACTCGCACACGTTGCATGCATATGGATGGTGAAATTTCGCGGAAAGAAAAATGAACAAAACACAGCAATCGTGACTTGCAATTAATTTGTGAAATGTGCGGCTTGGCGTTCAGCCATTTAAATAAAAATTTATTTCAGCGGTGGGAAATAAAAACTTTGTGTGCCTTCGTTCCAATCTTACAAGTAAGTAAAGACCGCAATAAAAATTATTATAAAACTATGTATATTTAATGCATCTTTTATTGTGCAGTTGCAATTACAAAATTGTGCGGCTCGGCGTTCGAGCATTTTTATAAAGATTTCAGCGGTGGAAAATAAGCGTTGTGTGCCTTTGTTTCAAACTTACAAGTAAGTAAAAATAGCGATAAAAATTGTTATAAAACTATGTATATTTAATGTGTCTTTTATTGTGCAGGTCCAGCCCAGTTTTTGTGTGCAGCACTTTCGTTCGGTGGTTTAAACTTGGCCAGGTGTCGTGACCCTATTAATTTGTCCGGGACTATATATAAATATGTATGCATAAATCTATGATTTTTAAACATGGAATTTTTTAATTAAGACGCTTACTGAATCTTGTGAATACCCTAAATACATAAATTTGAACTTACTAAGTACAAATAAATGTATTAAAATAAAAAAGTACAATTAAAAATCCTAAATGTGCTTTATTAAGACCTTAACAAATTAAATTACGGAAATAAAGCCCATAAAAAAAAGACCAATAAGCCTGTAAAATGACGGTCGTTATAACCGTATACATTACTACCACTACACCCAACAAAAAAGCAGGGTTCGTATTTGCACACACATGCGCAGCACATCCTAACATTTTACGTTCACACACGTGTGTGCTCACTGTGCTGTGCATATAAAAAATTAAAAACTTGCTCACATCACATGTGTGTGCCGTTTGGTAAAAAGCACGGGCACATGTGTTTACTTTATTTTTATTTATATAAAACAAATCTTTGTATAGGCTTACAAGTATGGAAACCGCCATTTTGTTTGTTTACATTTGAAAACAGCTGAGATCGCCTGATTTCTAATTCTCATTCACCGCACAGAGTTGCATTAAAATTTCAGAAAAAACTTTGAAATGTAAATTGAGAAATAATCTAGAAAAATGTGTTTTTATTCTTTTGAATTTATTAAATAAGTAATTTAAAATACATGCCAAGTCTTGTTCTTCCAATAATAACGATAAATGTGCATGTTCCAGGCAATAATTTAAAATATTTGTGAAACTTATCGTTTTGCGCTAAAATACATCAATGTGTGTGAAATTCGTTGTCATTGCTTTTGTTTTGAACATCATATTCGTGCTTGCCGGTGGAAAAATTAGGTAAATTTGCATTTATTTTTAAGAAAACATATAAATTAATGTATATTTCTTTCCAGAGCGACATATTAGTGCATTGGTGAAGTGCTCTTATCATTCTTGTGTTATCGTCAACTGCAGCCAATCTTCTTTGGACAATAAGTTGTATTGGTGGAAGATGAACTGGTGGCCAAAGCAGTTTCCTGAGCTTTGATGCAAATTTCGATTGGCCATGGCGAAATTCATGGGATTTTTGTTAAAGGTATACAGTTTTCAATGTGGTCTTAAACACTGAATATGTAAATGTGACTGGACGCACTTTTGGGGGTATACAAAACTGGGGCAGTGTTTTCATGTCATATGCATCGTTGGAAGTGTTTGGGCTTGTTCGAGTTGCAATTACAACTGTAGTGTTGCGTGAATAAAACATCACGTTCGCTGTGAATTTCTAGCAACGTTTTACCAATTAGGATGTTGGAATCGTCTTGCAAATTTTCATCAGCGCTGCAGTTTTTGTGCTTTTATTGCGTGCCTCGAGCAGGCCCTTTATCAGTGAATAGTTGTGGTTGTTGTAGTAGTAGCCGCATTACGAAGCCCGGCCTCAGTCGGTTTTCCATCAACAACACCGACAATAATAAGCTGTTTTATTGCATACCCCTTTCCATTAATATTATACTATGTTTAAGGCTCGGTGAAATAAATGAAGCGCTACTGGAGGCAAATTAAAATTTCTCCCTCAGCAAAAATGAGACTCTCGCTCATGATGAAAGCATGTTTATAGTTTTTTCTTTGAGATTGCAAACATCACCGACATAGTCATATTCTAAAGGTATACATTGATACTTTTCATGTTTATAAATTTTAATTGATATTTTTGTTTGTTTACATATTTGACATTCACCACCAGCATCATTAACGCCATCACCAAATTCAATGCCACCAACACCATCACCGACTAGTAACAATGTTTTACCACAGAATTTTGGCGAATTACAACGAGGCAAAAAACATATACATATGTAGTAATTGTAAAATTCCTAAAATTTTGCAAAGTTTTAAGAAAACTGCATTTTCTTCAACCACTATAAATGAATTCCAATTGTTAATATATATCAAAAGAAAGATAAAACGATTACCTTTCCTTTGATTACAAAACCATTTAAATCGCTTGACATTTTTATGCAAATTTCGCAACTTTTGAAATCATTTATATGTAAGCAGTGAAAAGGTTCTCAAATTTTGCAAAGTTGTAAGAAAACTGCATTTTCTTGAACCACTATAAATGATTTCCAATTTTTAATATATATCAAAAGAAAGCTAAAACAATTACCTTTCTTTTGATTATAAAACCATTTAAATCGCTTGACATTTTTATGCAAATTTCGCAACTTTTGAAATCATCTATATGTAAGCAGTGGAAAGGTCCTCAAATTTTGCAAAGTGGTAAGAAAACTGCATTTTCTTGAACCACTATAAATGATTTCCAAGTGCTAATATATATCAAAGGAAAGGTAAATCGATTACCTTTCTTTTAATTAAAATACCGTTGAATTCGTTTAACATTTTTATGCAAATTTCGCAACTTTTGAAATCATCTATATGTAAGCAGTGGAAAAGTCCTCAAATTTTGCAGAGGTAAGAAAACTGAATTTTCGTAAACCACGATAAATGATTTCCAACTGTAAATATATATCAAAAGAATAGTGAATTGATTAATATATTATTATTATTATAGTTTAATATCTTTATACATACATTTATTTAATATCCCGTTTTGTAGAGTGGTTATGATGATGTGTTTTATCATACATAAATAAAAGAAATACGTTTTACTTTTGCCAAATTGATATTCTTTATTTTTTTTTTTAACTTATTGCTTTTCCACACCACCACTGAGGTTGCAATAAAGGCGCGTTACCGATTTTTTTTTTTTGGTGTTCGGTTCCCCAGGAGGCCTATTTTTACCCATACTATCTACAAATACGAAGTGCATGCATATAAGAAAATCTAAGCAATAGCAAAATCCACGAAATACGAAAAAACTACGCAAATCTACTTGGAAAAAACGACTATGACTAATAATACTACATACAAGAAAACTACTTTGTACAAATTTATATACAATATTTACAAAATCACCCACAGTAATTCCCTTTCTATGAACTGTAATAGAGTATAGCAAAAAAATAAAAAAAATATTGCGACTGTAAATGTAGAGAACATCAGCATATAGAAGCAAGCTCTTGGGGTCAACAATTGTTATTAATAAGAGAGAATCAAATTCCAAGACATCAAATTAAATTTTTAAATAAGATTGTTATTAAAAAAAAAATGTGGCACAAAGCCCAACATTAAAAAAATAAATGTTGGACCAAAAAAAATAGTGTAGCTCAGGAACACTTAAAAAATTTTTTATCATTAAAAAAAATAGTACACAGCAACACTGTTAAAAAAAATAAAATAATGGTGCACAGCTCAGTAATACTGTTAAAGCAATTTTGATCATTCAAAAAAAAAAAACAAAAAAATTGTGGTACACAGCTCAGTACACTGTTAAAAAAGATTTAATGATAAAAAAAAAACAAAAAAATAGTGGTACACAGCTCAGTACCACTGTTAAAAAAAATTTTATGATAAAAAAAACAACAAAATAGTCGTACACAGCTCAGTAACACTGTTAAAAAAATTTAATAATAAAAAAAAAACAAAAAAATAGCTCAGTAACACTGTTAAACAAATTTAATGATAAAAAAAACAAAAAATAGAGGTACACAGCTCAGTAACACTGTTAAAAAAATTTTAATGATAAAAAAACCAAATAAATACTGTTAAAGCAATTTTGATCATTAAAAAAAAAATAGTATACAGCTCTGCAACAAAAAAAAAATAGTGGTTTAATTATTAAAAAACAAAAACTCAATAACACTTAATTTCTCTATCTATACTTATTTATGAGTCATACACAGAAATTTAGTATTTTTAAAATTTGGCTGCTTCGCCTCTTTATTAAATTTGTTAAGCAAAAAATATGTTCTTATTCTTATATATATACATTTCATTATTTCAATTTTCACAACAATAGTAGGGCTCTACATCTGCCATCTTTTCAAAGAGGATTTGCGAAAAGCCAATCCTATGACAAGTAGAATCGAAATGTTCCGCATAAATATTCTCGATTTTTGAAATGAATTTGTGGGATGTCCACAATAAAATAAGATTTATTTTCCAAGTATATTTAATGTATATTCTAGTTAAAGTTGCGAGCACTCAAAATGTGACAGGTGTTCCACGAAGTTGGATAACAAGAGAAAGAGAACAAGTTTCTTCGTTGCCACTTGTTTACAAAACAATTAAATTAACAAACGCTCAGCGTCGCATTTCATGATTGAGAATGAACTATATTATATGTACGCCACATCACTCCCCCCTACGTAGGAAAGCGAAAACGTACTCGTCGTCCGGATTTTGTATGATATTCCTTGTGCTGAATGTCTTGTTTCGACGCGGTTTGGTTATCCTCGGCGACGAAAGCTGCTTTCAGCCGGTCGATGGAAACGTTCACGTCCTTCCCTCGGATATTGATTTTAAAAAACTTTTCCTTCCGTTCGATTACGGGAAATGGTCCCTCGTATGGTGGTTGAAGAGGCTGACGAACCGCATCGTTGCGCACAAAAACTGCTAGTGTGGAGTATAAATTCTTTTCCACAAATAGCAAATGCGCTGAGTTGTTTGTTGTGGGAGTGGGCTGCAAAGACTGCATGCGAAGGCGTAGCTTTTCAACTAAGTCGCATTCGTTGATGTTAGGCGCGTGTTGTTCGGAAAAGAATTGGCCAGGTAATCGTAGCGTGCTACCGTAAACCATCTCTGCGGGTGTAGCTTTCAAGTCATCTCTCCATGATGAACGGAACCCTAAAATAATAATTGGAAGCACTTCGACCCAATTATCCGTCATGTGACATTTTAACGCTGCTTTCAAGGACCTATGCCAACGCTCGATAAGCCCGTTTGACGTTGGGTGATACGCGGTGGTACGTAGGTGTTTTATGCCTAGAAGTCCGGATAGCTCTCGGAAGAGTGCAGACTCAAATTGCCTGCCCTGGTCAGTTGTCACTCTACTCGGCACTCCAAATCTAGCGATCCAGTGTGTGTAAAAATTGAAAGCGATTGTCTCCGTCGTCATGTCTTCCAACGGATATGCCTCCAGCCAACGGGAGTAGCGGTCGACTATCGTGAGGCAGTATCAATACCCCTTGCAAGGTGGCAATGGTCCGACGATGTCCATGTTTATGTGGTCGAACCTTTGTTCCGGCAACATGAATGTTGATAGCGGTGCTCGGTTGTGGCGCTGTACTTTGGCCTTCTGGCACTGAATGCACTGTCTGGACCATAAGCGGCAATCCTTTCGAAGACCTGGCCATACGAACTTCTCGGCGACCAGTTTTGTGGTTTTGGCAGCGCCTGTGTGAGACATTTTGTGTATGGAGTCGAAGGCTGGTCTGCGAAAGGAAGGAGTTAAGTATGGTCGGGCTCTACCGGTGCTCACGTCGCAAAAGATTTCGATGTCTGTGCCTGGAATCAAAAAAGGTTTCAATGTTAGGCTTGACTTTGAATTAAGTGAACTCTGAAACTCTGAATCGGTCTGTTGACTCTTTGCAAGCTTGGCAAAGTCCGTCGTGCACGTTGTGTGTATGGCGTCGATACGTGAGAGTGTGTCTGCCACTACGTTGTCGTTTCCGGGGATATAACGAATGTCCGTTGTGAATTGGGCGATAAATTCTGAATGTCGCATTTGACGCGGGGATGCCTTTTCCAGCTTTTGCTGGAACACGTATTGCAATGGCTTATGATCGGTGAGAATGAAAAATTCCCTACCTTCCAGCATGTGTTGAAAATATTTGACAGCTTTGTACGCTGCCAACAGTTCGCGATCATAGGTGCTGTATCTCGTTTGTGCTTCGGTGAGACGTTCAGAGTAAAATCCCAGTGGTTGCCACTGATCGTTGTCGTGTTGTTGCAATACAGCACCCACAGCCGCTCCCGAGGCGTCCACCGTCAAGCTGAGTTTCGCATCGGGCTTTGGGTAAGAGAGTAGAGTCGCTTTGCACAAGTCGTCTTTACACTGCTGAAATGCCTCTCTCGCTTCGTGGGTCCACTCGATTTCGGATGTGTCATTCTTCTTGTTGCCTTTCACGAGTTTACATAAGGCTGTCTGCGTTTTCGCGGCGTTCGGCAAAAACCTACGAAAGAAATTGATCATGCCGAGAAAGCGTCGCAAATCGCACGACCTTTCGGGCAGTTGAAAATTTCGAATAGCCTGTACTCGTTCCTCTGGGGGTGAGATTCCGCTTCTGTTGATTGCGAACCCTAAGAATTTCACTTCAGGTTGGCCCAATACACATTTCGGGCGGTTTATAACTAACCCGTACTCACCGCAGTTTTTCGAACACCAGTCGCAGATGTTGGCGGTGCTGGTTCATATCCTTCGACGATATCAAAATATCATCGAGGTATGGCCAAGCGAAGTCGTATTCACGGAAGATGTGGTCCATAAATCTTTGGAATGTTTGACTAGCATTTCGTAAACCGAAGCACATGAAGGGAAATTCAAACATGCCGAATGGCGTAGTGATTGCCGTCTTCGGTATGTCGGTTGGCTCAACGGGAATCTGGTGGTACGCGCGACCTAGATCGAGTGTGGAAAAAATACTACAGCCATGAAGCGAATGAGTGAAGTCGTGCAGATGAGGAATAGGGTACCTGTCTGGCTCGGTAACAGCGTTCAACCTTCGAAAATCCCCGCAAGGCCTCCATTCGCCATTTTTTTTCCTCGCCATGTGCAGAGGGCTCGCCCATGGACTGCGAGATGGGCGACAAATACCTGCGTCTAGCAAGAACTGTATCTCTGCTTTCGCGGCTTTCAGTTTCTCCGGAGATAACCGTCTCGGTTTGGAGAAAACTGGTGGACCTCTGGTGACGATGTGATGCGAGACATAGTGTTGTGGTTGTGCGGTCGCAAAATTTTCTACCGTGATGTCTTTGAATTCACTCAATAGATCCTGGAACTGTTGACTCTTGTTGATGCATAATAAATTCAACACTACCTTTTTATCAGCTGACAGCGAGCAAAGTTTGGCTATGTTTGTCATATCGTCGATGAGTTTTCGTCATCGTCGATGAATTTTTCGGTGTCGTAAGTTGACCGACAGGTTAAAATATGCTAAAAAGTCGGCCCCGATGATGACCTGTGACACGTCGGCAACGATAAAATTCCAGCGAAATTGGCGGCGAAGTCCCAAGTTGACAAACATAGCCTTTTCATCGTAAGTTTTTATGGTAGACTTGTTTGCTGCGTAGAGGTAGTTGTTTTTGTCAGGGTATCTGCGTGGTTGTTGCGTCGGTGGAACAACGCTAACTTCAGCTCCCGTGTCTATAAGGAATTTGATTGCGGAGTTCTTGTCCAGAACGATGAGGCGGCGGTTCGTATTGTTGAGCCTGTCGTTGACCGCCATTGACGACAGACTAACTAGTTTAACTTTTTGGAGCATGGACTGCGACATTTCTTTGCATCGTTGCCAAATTTGAGATGGTACCAACACAATCCATTCGAGTCGGCGTTTCGCGTGCCGGAGTGTGACGGAGGACGGTACCTGGTTCGACTTCTGGATCGGCGATTTATGTTTGCTTTTATAGAAGCGATCTCTTTTGTGATTTCAGCCAGCTGTTGCTCGATATTAGATTGCGTATGTGCGGCTGTTTGTTGGGTCTCGACTGCGCTGACATGTGGTGTATCGCTAACCTCACTTATTTTATCAGCGAGCAGTGCTACTTTGTCGAGAGGCTCATTGCTGATGGAAATGATAAGCCGCATGTTGGAAGGTAAACGACTCATCCAAATGGACTTGAGAATGTTGTCGTTTATTTCGCTGCCGGCCAAACTACGTATTTCGCGGCTTGTCTGAAAAGATATGAGAAACGCTGCGGAGTTATTCTCACATCAAATCTCACATCTTATATGACCAAAAAAGTTTTCCAATTTATCTTGACATAATTTTCGAGTCATTAAATGCTGGAATCCCTTATGTGACCAAAAACGCCACAATCGTCGCAAACTACTAATATGTATTGAGTAGCCACCCCTTAATGAAATAGAAAGAGTTGGTGATATCACGACCAAGGTAATCATGAACTTTCAAAGAACTAAGAAACTTCTCGGCTTCCTCCAGAAAAGTAATTTGTTCCGCAGTTGCTGAAAACGGTTGCTTTAGGTTGCCAAATATTAAATAACTTGTCGAAAAAAAGGACAAATTCGGCTGTATTAAGATAGTTTGGTGACTTAGAAATGTTTAGGCGCGCCGAGCTGTATAAAGCGAACATTGCGCTTGCCACAGAATTGCTGAGAACTTGAGCAGCTAACTTAACATTAATTTTTTGAAAAGTGTTTGATTTAATATGGGCCGAGTTTAATTTATGAGTGCAACTGATATCTGAAAGGCAACCTTGCTCATGCAGATGGACTATATCATTCCAATCTATTGGCCTGCCATTAAAACTGACTATTCTTCTTGTTTTCAATGCAGTTCCGTGTAATTTTTAAAAGATGCGGAGAATCGTAAAGGTATACGATTTCTTGGCCATTGACTTCAAAAAAGGGTCTCCTTAGAAACACCTACGATCCTACAAAAGCTCATAAAATTGGACCTTTGATCGCTAACTAATTGGCAGGGATGAAGACCAATACCCTGGAGTTGACTTATCGCTTCAAAAATGTATTTCTTCATCACATCTCCTCTACCCGATTTGTGAACAAGAAAATATGCTAGAGGGTGCGTCCAAGACTCCCCGCCAATGCCTTGGACGAAAAATGTGAGAACCCTGGAGGCGACCCTGGAGGTACGATTTTCATCAACATAATCCTCCAGACCAACAATATAATCCCTACTCTCATATTGTAAATTGATCTTCAGGGACATTTCGTCACAGCATATCGACACATATCGCTGAGCGTCAGTGAAGCCCCGGCTTCTCAACTCCAGGGCTTTAATGCTGCTAGAGCTGCAGCCAGGGTCTCTCGGCCTACCTCGAACGAATTGTTCAAGAGTTCTTCTGGAAGGCCAATTTTATATTTGGGCTTCAAATACCTTAATGCAACGGGCGACAAAAATTTAACTGCCAGAGCTAAAGTCTTTAACTCCCTATCAAATCTATACCCTTTTGGAGTTCTAGACGAATTTCTGAGGCAGTTCCTCACACATATCGCAAGATGTGAAGGTATCTTGCCGAGAAGCTCATCGATTTGTCTACTTCCGTCCTGCCCCGGAATAGACAAAATTTGACCCTCGTAAACTCTCTACCTCCTCTAACTGAGTCACCCTGTTGCGGAGATATTCTAATTCCCGCTCTTTGCTAATTAAATCCTCCTTGTACTTTCGCTTTCTAGGAGTCCCTTCGGTTAAGTACTCGTCTGTTTGTGTATGACGACTATTTGACCAAGCTTCTTGGTCCTAAAGAAGAAGAACATGGGAGTTCTTCAAATAAAGGGAGAAAGGACTCTTGTAAAGGGCCACAATTTCAAACTGATCGCAGTTTGAAGTACAAAGTACCGGATTGAAATCTTCTACACCTAGCTCTATTACAGTTCGTTCGTTTTCTAAACCTAAGCTACCTGCCTCTAAATTCGTCCTAGAGTCTTCTAACCTATCTTCTATTACTGTGGGTGAACATAACTTAATACTAATATCAGGGATAGCCCACTTCTGAAGTAACCTTCCATTCCCCATCCTCATTTTCAGGGAGAAATGCCTCTGGCAAGCGAAAATATATTTCGCTGTTGGGTTGACTACGCCCAACAGCTCCATCCACTGACTCCGCCTAGTAAAATTAAAAAAAAAAAAGAATTAAAACCATTAAATTACTAAATTTTATACAAGCTACCCAATAATTACCACAATAAACTTTAGAAGACCACCCAGATAACCGAAAAAATACCCTTATAAAAGTGCACCGTTTTGAAATATTAAAATTTTTCATTTCTTGAGCCGTATGAATTAAAAAAAAATTTACTTTTTCTTAAAATTTCAGACCTTTTACTCGATTTATTATAACGAAATTTTTATAAAAGGTGTAGGATTTTAAGAAAAATCAATTCCTTAGTTTTTATTCACACGCCCATTATCAATTATTTTTAGTTAGAAAATATCAAATATTGCAAAAACGGCCATACTTTTTAACAATAGGAAGCAAGAAAAACTAAAGGCACTAAAGTAATGTAAACTAATGTAAAAGACTTAAATAAATCTTAAATCTGTGGCAACCTACTAGTTTAATGCTAATGCAACCCTGTAGACTACTAATATAGGGGCCAGATGGCAACACTGGTCGAAGGCCATTGAAATAAAGAGGATTGTTGATTGAACACTTATCGAAAGCGGTCGTTTATTTGCTAAAGCTCAGGTGTGGACCGAACAGTATTAATTTAATAATTTAAAATACCTAAAATACATCGTGTCCGGAGTGAATTTATAAAACTTGAGAACTTAGGAAGTAATGCAACTTAAGTGGACGGAAGCTAAGGAAAAGGCAACTTAAGAGTACCGAAGGTGATCTTAAGAAGTGACTAGTAAAATATGGCGTCGAAAGAGGACGTAATAGCAGCCCTGAGAGACATGGGGGTTGAATTCCCTGAGACAGCTACAATTTCGCAGCTACGTTCATTATTGGAAGGTGTAGTGGGTACTGCTCCGGTAGCTCAAAATCCAGGCGAAAACACCAGCGTGGATGAAGAGGCACGCGCGACCAACTGTACTCAGGTAACAAACGTCGCCATTTCTGAAAAGAACGGTGACGAGGTGGGCATACAAAAAGGCGGTCGTGAGCAACATGAGGTACAGGCGGCAACCGACAAAAGCGACGCCGGTGATTTAGCGCGAATTGAAGCAGACTTGGAACGACGCTTGCGTATTTGCAAGCAACGACGAGAATTGGAAGAAATGGAGATCAGAGATACGACCGAGCGAAAATTAACTTTTAGCCTGAATGACATCGAATGCTCGATTGAGAAATTCAGTGGAGACAACCATCATGGCATTCGTAAATAGGTGGCCGACTTCGAGCTGACAACGCAAACCTATAGTTGCAACGAGAAAACAAAATTGCTACTCGCTCGTAGAGTGCTGACCGGGAGTGCTCAATTGCTCCTAAGAACCATAACGTTTTCGTCATGGACCGAGTTGAAGACTATGCTACTGAAGGAGTTTGGCAGAACATTAAATGCCAGAGACGTTTTTAGGAAATTGGAGTCTCGAGCTTGGGACAGAAAATCGGAGACTCCATTTCTATGTGTGGGTGCATTGGTTAGTGAAGCAGAGGAATACATAGTGGATGGGCTGCGAGACAAGTCGGCAAATAGCTTCATTTTTTCCAACGTATCCACCACCGAGCAATTGAAGCAACTTTTGCCTAAATACGAAAAACTAGTCCAGGCAGCTACGGTAAAAACAACGAGTGCAGCGGTTCCCCAGCGTGCAGAGGTAAGGTGTTATAATTGTACGAAATATGGCCATTATGCATCCGAGTGCCCGAACGAAAAACGTCCAAAAGGAGCATGTTTTAAATGCCGTAAGACGGATCACCAATATGTAAACTGCCCACTGAGAGTAGTCGCCGCTCTTGAGAGGGAAGCTGATTTTGAACGCGTAGAAAGTAGAGAATGGGTGAGTGTCGCTTTTAATAGAAATTATGAATGTAGTCCACAGTTTTTGAATTCCTTTCGATTTTTGATACGGGCAGTCCGAATAGTTTTGTTCGAAGATCCTTGGCTGCATCTGCGAATCCCCAACTTAAATTACACACCGAAGTAAATTCGCAATTTAGAGGAGTGGGCAGCCAACGAAAAAAATAATTTGGGAAAATTAATGCAGCAATTAAATATGCTAATACCATCAAACCCTTACCGCTTTTTGTATTATCAGACGAAATATTACCATTTCCATTATTGCTAGGAAATGATTTTTTGAAACTATTCAATATAAGTTTATACAAACGTGTAGAACACGGAAATAAATATAATTCCAAAATCCTTAATGATAGGTGTATAGCATGATTCAATAATTAATTAATTGATTTATTATTGAATCATGGGTGTATAGAAAGTGAAAATGAATTAAATAAAAACAAACTTGAAGTACAAAATACGAAAATTGTGAAAATTGTTGAAGGAAAAGAAAACTTGGGAAACGAATCGTTTAATATTTGTGAAATTGGGATAACGCAAGATGAGGGAAATTTTGATATGAACCCTACGTTATCGGTTACTGATGTGAAACGTTTCGAAAAAATGCTGAAAACAACATACATTGAAAAAGTAACTTAAGAATTGCCCGATTGTGAGTACGAAGCGCGAATTATTTTAATATCAGACATTCCAACCTTCTCCAGACCAAGAAGACTTTCGTTTGCAGAGAAAAACGAGGTAGATAGAATCATCGAAGAATTGCTAGCGAAAAAAATTATAAGGCTAAGTGAATCAGCGTACGCATCTCCAATTGTTTTAACGAAGAAAAAGTCTGGAGAAACGAGGATGTGTATTGATTATAGGAACGTAAACGAACTTATCGCCAGGGGTAATTATCCACTACCATTAATTGAAGATTGCTTAGAGTACCTAGGAGGGAAACAAATTTTTAGTGTACTAGATTTAAAATCAGGATTCTACCAGATTAAGATGGAAATTAAATCAATTCCGTATACATCTTTTGTAGTCCCTCAAGGGCAATATGAATTCTTGAGAATGCCATTTGGCCTAAAAAATGGGCCAGCTATTTTTCAGCGGTTTATTACCAGGATTTTTAAAGATTTTATATCGAAAAATGAAATTAGAATTTACATGGACGATATTGTGGTGGGAACTAAGACTGTAGCCGAACATTTTAATTTGTTGAAACGAGTTGTGCATCGTTTAGCCGAGTACGGATTGCAGCTCAAACTAGAAAAATGTAAAATTGCTTACTATGAAATAGAATACTTAGAAAATAGGGTATCAGCAGAGGGCATACAACCTTCGGTTTCGCACAAAATAGCTATCTGGAATTACCCACAACCGAGAACCCAACGGGAGGTAAAGGCCTTCGTTGGGCTTTGTTCTTATTTTCGGAAGTTTGTTCAATCCTTTTCGCTTATAGCACGACCTTTATTTAACATTATTAAGGGGAATGGAAAATTCGATCAAAAAGTTAATTTTTATAGGGAATGTGAAAGAGCATTTAACACCCTGAAAGAAAAGTTAGCATCAAGCTCTGTATTGTCAATCTATAGTCCTCATAAGGAAACAGAACTTCACTGTGATGCTAGTTCACAGGGGTTTGGCTCAATACTTCTGCAGAGATAAGAGGGGTCAGGTTTCCACCCAGTGGCATATTTTTTCAAACGAGCAACGGAAGCGGAAAGTCGTTACCATAGTTTCGAGTTGGAAACCTTGGCAATCATTTATTCCCTCCGTCGATTTCGTGTATTTCTAGAGGGTATCAGATTTAAAATTATTACAGATTGCAATTCACTCGCTCAGACTCTAAGTAAAAAGTTAATAAACAGTCGCATTGCCATATGGGCGTTAGAACTCGAAAATTACGACTACTCAATCTGTCATCGAGCAGGAGCAAACATGCCCCATGTCGATGCTCTCAGTAGAAATTACCTCGATTGTGATAACGTCATAGCAGTCAGTGACTCCGAAGACATTGATTTTCAACTGCAAGCTATGCAGGCAAGGGATGGAAAAATTAAACTACTTAAGCAGGAATTAGAGGGAAAAGACCTAGACAACTTAGCTACCTGTTACACTGAGATGTGCCCTCTTCGTACGTATATATACATGTAATTATATTTAGCCATAGTAATATCACAAAGTTTTATTTTATTCTAAATTTATACAACCTAATACCTGTGCCAGTTTTGTTTATCTTACATTAGTCCTGCT